GGGGAGAATTAATGTGGCTCATGGGTTGTAGAGGGTTCAGTCCATAGTCAGCCAGCTCCAAGGCAGGCAACATGGCACAGGGCCTGGTGGAGGAGAGCTGCTTACTGCATGGTAGACAGAAAGCAGAGAAGGGAGGAGCCGGGAGGGAGATGAACTTTCCGCCACGCCCTCAGTGGCTGCCTCCTCTGCCCAGGGCCCACCTCCCAGCATCATATTTAGCTATCAACTTACCTGTGGATGAATCTACCAGTGAGTACAGTGCCCCCAGGACCCAGTCACCTCCCCAAAGCCCTGCTAATGAGCCCTGAGGCTTTGAGGGGACATCTCAATATAAAGCGTCACCATCACAATCCAACCACTACAGACTCTGTCCCCGTTCCAGCCCTCAAGCCTCATGGGATGGGCAAAGCCAGCACCACAATAGCCAATCTGGGGCAGAGGAAGCGTGCACCTCTGAGCAGGGCACAGGGAGCATGGGCAGGAGGACTCAGGACCATTCTGAGGGGCGCCTGGAGGTGGAGAGCAGAGTCTGGGGGCCGGCCTCACTGGCTGAGTGGGAAGCGACACCAGCCCGAGGTCCAGGGTCCAATCTTGGTCTCCTTGGGGGAGAGACAAAGAGGGGCAGAGGTGGAGCAGGCCCAGATCAGGGAGGCTGAAAACCTGGCTCCTGAGGGCTGCAGGCAGGAATTCAAGGTTCGGGCCGGACTACAGGAGAGTCACGTGTGACCTGGCACAGCACACTCCATGGCTCAGGGCCTTGGTGTCCTCTGCAAACTGGGATGACAGGAACAGCGGTCACCTCCGTGAGGTGGTTGAGGAGGGCAAAGGAAGGGAGGGCCGATGGCTGACTTTGAGCCATCGTTTTCTGGTATGTTTCCTTTTTTAAGAGTAGGAAAACTTATTGAGGGAGAGAGTTCCTGAGAGACCGGAGGGGCTCCAAAAGGGGGTCGCCCTGCTGGTGTATTTTCTACTCGGTGTCCATAGGTGGTTCTGGACAGAGCCAGAGAAAAGGCAGCTAAACGAACGACAAAAGCTCGAAGTGCATTTCTTTCCTAAAATAAGAAGACCAGGTTTATTGAGGTGTAACACGCACCATAAAACCCACCCACTTTAAGTGAGCCCTTTAGTGATTTCTACTGATTCACAGACTTGTGCACACTCTCTGCAGCCCACCCATACCCGGCTGCAGTTAATCCCCATCCTCTTGGCCCTATGACCGCCTCTCTGGAGCAGCTCTGCACATTTGCCTTTTCTCGATATTTCCAATAAATGGAATCACACAATGTGGAATACTGTGTATCCTGTATTCTTTTTCTGAGAGAGAGAGAGAGAGCAGGGATTGAACCCAGGGCCTCCACACTGAGCTACATCCCCAGCATTTTTTATTTTTTATTTTCGTGACAGGGTTTCACTAAGTCTCTAAGTGCCCCAGGCTGGCCTTGGACTTGCGTCCTCTTGCCCCACCCTCCCGCGGTGCTGGGATGACAGGTGTGCCCAGCTGGCTTGGCAAATGTCTCTGAGGTTCGTCCGGGTTGTAGTGTGCTTCGGTGCTTCCAGTCTTTCTTATGGGCCGTTCTTCACTGATGCCTCTGTTACCGTCGATCCATTCCCCAGCTATGGACACTCATGGGGTTTCCAGGTCTTGCTGTCGTCCGCGACTCTGCTTGGAACAGTCAGGCGCAAGTCTTCGGGCCATGTGTGCGCATTTCTCTCAGGCAGATTTAGTGTGGAGCTGTCTCCCTCCCTGTGAGGTGGGCACGTACGGGTGACGGGGGAAGGTGCGACATTCTCTGTTGCACTGAGTTTCGTGTGAACTTTAAAACTGCCGACTTTCCCCCAAAGTGGCTGTGCTGTTGTAATTCCCACGTCACGGATGAAGTTCTGTTTTTATTAGAGAGTAGGGTATTTCACCTTAACACTCCTAGTTCCCATCTCTAGTGCTTAGTTCTTCCTGTGGATTGAAGCTGCCGCCTTCCTAGTGTCATTTCCTCCCCAGTTTATCGGCTTTCTTTAGTATCTTTTGTAAGCCAAGTCGACAAGTGAGGAATTCTACAAGTATCGAATCCTGTTTATCTGGAATGTCTATTTCCCACTCTCCCGCCTCCCCTTTCGGTTTTTACTTTCGTTTTCGAAGGATAGCTTTGCTGGATATAGAATTTCATGGTTGACAGGTTGCTTTTTCTCTAGCATTTTGGATACATCATTCACAGCCTTCTGCCCTCCCTTCATTCCAGGTGGAATGCTAACTGTTCATAGGCCTGTTGTTCCCCGTACCTGACTTGTTTCTCCAGCTTCTCCTATGGCATTGAGTGTCTGTTTGCTGTTTGATTTTTGATGTGTCTGGGCACGTATCTCTATAGCCTACTTGGGAATTGCTGAATTTCTTGGATGTTTCTATTAAAGCTTTCTCATCAGTCTTGGAAAAGTTTTGGCTATTATTTCTTTAAACGTTTTTCTGGCCCTTTTTAGCTCTTCTCTGGGAATCCAATTATTACATGGCTGAGCTTGGCGTTCCACACATGGCCACGACTGCTTAGTTCTTCGTCTTTTGTTCACTCTAGTCTTTATGCTGGAGAATTTTTATTTTTGTAATTTCATTTCCACGGATTCTTCTGCTGTCTTAAATCTGCTGTGGAGACCCTTCACTGAAGTTTTCCCATTATATACTCTTCACCCTCAGACTTTCTGTTTGGTCCCTTTATATTATTTTTCCTCCACATTGAGCCTCTGTATTTGATTTGTTATTGTCATATTTTTCTTTAATGCTTTGATCTTATAATGGCCTTTTTTAAACCACCAAAGTCAACTTCTGGACCTTCTCACAGACTTCCCCCTCTCACCCAAAATATAGGTCATATTTTTCTGTTTCTTTGCATTACACACATCTTTTGATTGAAAATTGGACATTTAAGGTAACATATTGTACTGACCAATTTTGATTCCCCCCCACCCCCAGAAGATAGTTGCTGCTTTTTTCCTGTTTGTTTGGTAACTTGCCTGGGCTGAATTTGTGGAATCTGCCTCCTTCGCTGTGTGTAGTTGCTGATGCTCAGGGTTTTAAAAAATTCTAGTTTTTGTTTCTAAGCCTGGCTTTAGTGCCCTCTGCGGTCGCAGCATAGATGTCATCCGGTGCTTGACTGGGTTATCTTCGAGCACCTTGCCCCAGTTAGCCTGCTGTACTCTGTCAGAGGCCTCTGTGTGGTAGGGAAACCAGTTAAAATTCAGGCTGTCTTGGAATCTTCCTGGGTTTTATTTTCACTAGGCCTTTCATACTTCCTGTGCATGCGCCTGCCCTTGGGGTCAGCGTGGATCCTTTTCAGTCCCCGTTAGGCACATGCTCAGTCTCAGCCCTCCTACCTGGCCCTCAGCTCACTTTCACTGACGATGCCGATAAATGCGTCACCCCACTCCCAGCCGTGTGACCCGCCTCAGCCATGGCCCTGCAGCTGCTGGTCCTCTTGGCCGGTTCCACCTGAGGGGCCTCTAAATCTCTCCAGCGGGAGGGTGGGGTGGAAATGGCTGTAAATCTCCTAGCTTCTTCCTAAAGTCCAGCAGTTCTCAAGCACAAACACCTCTCAGGTTGGTGTTAGATGATTTCCTGAACATGGAAATGGTTTTTGTCAATTTTGCGCTGCTTTACAGCTGACTTTTGGGGAGAGGACTTTCCAGCCCCCTCACCTGACCATCACTGGGAATTCTGTGTCCTGGCTGCACATTTCTGACTGGGAAGTGTGGTGGGCAGCGATGAGGGTCCTAGGAAGGATAGAGTCAACAAGAAATGGTTGCTTATGAGGCTGAGAAGATTGCCTGGAGCTGGATGGAACCTTATGTGGCAGAGGAGGAAAATGGTAGCATCTATGGGGAAGGGATTCGTCCACATTTTTAAACTGAGTCTATGGAGATGACATAGGAAGCTGGGTCTCCTGACTCCCACTCCAGTGCTCTCTTCCTTCTACCAGATTGCTGGTCACATTAGTAGTTATAGTTTAGAAGCTCCAATTTGGGAGTTTTCAGTATAGAAGTCACATGAATCCGTATGCACATCTATGTACCTACTTACCTGCCCACCCACCCATCTATCCACCCATCCATCCATCCATCCTTACATCCATCCATCCATCCATCCTTTCACCCACCCACCCATCTATCCACCCATGCATCTACCCACCCAACCATTCACCCTCACATCCAATCATCCATCCACCCCACCCCACCCACCCATCTGCTCAACCATCCACTCTAACATCTACCCACACACCCACTCACCCAGTAATTCCCGGTTGACTGTCCACTATTTGGCCAGCACTGTGCAGGACTCTGGAGTCCAATGGTGATCAGAAACTGACACTGTCTCATGGTTGTGTCATCTCAGAGTAGGCGAACTTTTGTCTTGGGAAAAGGCCTCCTTGCAAGAGCCAGTTTGAAGAGGAACTCTTGTTAATCTGTTAGTGTCAATCAAGGTGGTAATTCTTTTGAAGAAAAACAGTGAGTTGCAGTTAACCCTCAAGTGGAAATTCTGCAAATTGTGATTTAAAGACAAGATTTTTATCTGAAGATTTTAAAATTTGAGTGAAATGTCAATTTCATATTCAATAATTTGGTAACAGAATTTGGTTGCTGAAATGAGTCTTGCAGGCAAGAGCATTGCAAGACTTATTTAAAAATGTCTGTTAAGGTGGTGGCTTCCCAACCTCCCCTCCAGAGAGTCTAGAACTGTGAGGCCCTGGCCTTCCGCCCTGAGCACTGCAGGGAGCCGCGGAGCCTCAGACGCTTGCCAGTTGCTTTTGGAGGCCTCGGTGATGCCGAGGAACCATATGGAAACTGAGAAATTCAGCAAAAGATCTGGAGGCTTTGTCTATGTGACAACAAATAATCCGATATTTGGAAACAAGAGATCTTTGACTAAATCTTGAGTCATCCTCTGGAAACTCCTAAATGGAACCTCAGAGGAATTTGTGTCGTCGCCCATTTTATCTTGTTCTTCTCTATTTTCTTCCCAGATGATTCATTCGACGATCACTCCCCAATCTGTAACTCTAGCTCCAATGATGATCTCGTCACCACTTCTGAAGTCCTCCCAGCACCCTGCCTGTACGGCAGTGTCCCCTGCCAGCCTCAACAAACATCTGCTTGCTCCAGTATCTCCCAGTCTCCCCTGCAGGTGGATAGAAGCCATGAGCCTGGGCTGTGGCCAATGGGGTGTGAGTGACAGAGTGACTTCCAGGTCCTATCCTTACAAAACTTCCTAGGATTCTCGGCTCCTGTCATGTGACCCTAGTGCCACATGTTCTAGATGGCAAAGTTATAGAAAGGAGGAGGTCACCGGACTCTTCATTGCAGTGAACTTTGAATGAGGGAAGTGATGTTCCTTGGGGCATACAGAGACTTGGGATCATCTGTTGCTGCACTGCATCCTGGCCTGTGCTGACCAACACCACCAGGACATCATATGATAACTCAGCAGCTGTGGTCAAGGTTGCATCTGGCACCTTCTCTTCAGATGTGTTCCCTTCCTGGCCTCACTGTCCCCAAACACCTCAAGGTCTCCAGACTGCTCCTTCCTTCTCACACTGCACCACTGGGGTTCCAGGTCCTCCCCTCCACCTGCCTCCACTCCTGGACCAACACTCTGGCTTCCAAGGTGGTCTCTCCCTCCAGCCTTTAGAAGCTGCCAGAACTTTCTGGAACACAACTTTGACTGTGTCATTCCTTTTCTTGAAAATCCTAGGAGGTTCTCCTCCAGCTTGGAATAAAGTACAAACACTTCAATACCTGAATTCATTAGCTTTTTGTCACTGGGACAAAATACTTGCCATATACAACTCAAAGGAGGAGTAGTTTATTTGGCTCACAGTTTCTGACTGTTGGTCCATGGTCAACTGGCTCCAAAGTAGAAACATCATGGCGGAAGGGTGTGGAGGAGGACAGCTGCTCACCTCATGGCAGCCAAGAAGCAGAGAAGGACAGAGCCAGGGAGAGAGGAAGGGGCTGGAAACAGGATACACTCTTCAAGGGCACACTCTGGTGACCCACTTCCTCTATTGGGGCCCCACTCAGAACATTCAGCTGCGCATTCACCAATGGATTAATCCACTGGGGCCGGGGTCCTCAGGACCCAGTCAACTCCAGGCTCCACCTCCATTCACTGCAGGGGTTCAGCCCTCAGTGGATGAGTCTTTGTGGGGCATGTCATATTTAAACCATAACAGAACCTGAGACCTGCAGGCTCTGGACCCTGCCTTTCCCTCCAGCTGCATAGCCACTGCTCTGTCCTCTACCTAGCAGGCTGTTCGCTGCTCCCTGTGGGGCTACCAACCTCTATGTCTCTGTCCCTCTCTGTTTTCCGGAGACCAGGTCCTGACTCATCACTCCTGGCCTGCCTGGATGTACTTTTCTACGCCAACACCTCAGGCAGAATAAATTCTTTCCTCTCTCTTCCTTCCGCTACACTCAGCACATATTTCCATAATAGCTTGTGTTCTCCGGGGTGTTTGTAGCTGTTAAGCAGAAATAAAGAGCTACAGGGTCAAAAAGCAGGAGAAACAATGGAATGAATCAAAGTTGAGATGGTTTTTAAATCACGGAAGATTTCAGACCTTACTGTGCCTCTGTCAGGGGACTCGGGAGGAGGGGCACACAGTCAGTGGCTCTTTCTGGGGTTAATGGTCTGTGGAGTCCTAAGGTGTCCCTCCTCTCATTTTACAGATGGGGAAACTGAGGCCCAGAGCACACAGCTGGTGGGGGGCCAAGTGGAGAGAGCTGGAAGAGCGAGACGAGGTAGAACGTGCTTGCTGGGGTGGCCACTGTCCCTGCGGAGGGTGGCACCCGCCCGGTGTAGGACTTCCTACGGGGCTCCTGCTAGGGGGTGTGGCTGGGGAATGACTGCACACCGCGCCGCAGGGGTGACTGGGACTGGGTGGAAGACTGGAGTGGGCGCCCAGGGACCCTGGCCTGTTCCATGGAGGGCATGTGCGATGCCCTTGGGGCGATTCCGGCACTGTCCCCCCGGATGCTCAGTTTCTGCGGCATGCCCACAGCAGGCCCCGGGTGTTCTGACCACCATGCAGGTGGTTGGTCATCTGCACAGAACACCCTGGCTTGGCTGTGGTTGACTGTTCCCCACGGGTCCACGGTGACTGTGGCTTGGTCCCCACTACTGGAGGTGGCACTGAGGTGGGGCCGAGAGGGAGGCCCTTGGGTCACTGGGGCGTGCTCTTGGAAGGGACTGTGAGGGCCCAGGTGTCATCGTCCTCCTGTCCCTCATCCTCTGTGCTTGATGTCTGTGGCTATACCCCAATATCAGCCCAGGAGGGTGGGATGTGGTCTGCTGGTTCCCTGCCATCTCCCTGGGGCCTGGGACAGGGCCAGGCACACAGTGGGTGTTCAGTAGGCACGTGGCAGATGGCAGAAATGAGCCAGCCCTTTTATGCTGCCCAGCTCAGGGTCTGGCTTGTCCCAAGGGACAAGCATCCCTGCCCCTGCCCCAATGCAGCCACAGGAAGTCCTTTACAGCCTCTTAGTGCTTTTTTTTTTTTTTTTGGTACCGGGGATTGAACTCGGGTCTTTGCGCTTGCGCAGCAGGCAACGGAACCACTGAGCTAAATCCTCGGCCCCAGGAAGTCCTTTACAGTGTGCGGATGGGGCCCAAGCTCAAGTTCCAGTCTACTGTCCCCTGCTGCCTTGCTCTGTTGCCCCTGACCCTCTGATAACAAGGTTGTCACACAGAGGTTGTGCACCTCTGACCCCTGTTGCTGACCGGGTGACTTCCTGTCCCGACAGGAGGAGCAGAACTTCTGAATGGGGCAGGAGGCGAGGTGGGGCGTGGCCTCTGTGCTTCCTCCCAGGGGGCTGGTGCCTGGTGCAGGTTGGGCCCCGACTCCTCACCTGCCAGAGGCAGGCCCTGCTCATGGAGATGCACAGTTCGAGCGCTGCCACATTTATAAAGATAAATTAAAATATTATCACTAGAGATCTTCAATAATTTAAAAAAGCTGGGGACTTTTAATGAGCCAGTGGTATGATTGAGTGCTGGAAAGAAAAAGTGCCTCTTCCCCCTCTGGGCACCGAGCGCTGCTGTGAAATGGGGATGCAAGGGTGGCTCTCAAAGCGGAAGGGTTTGCAGGGTTCAGCTGAGCCCCACTTAAGCTCTCGTGAAAAGCATCATTTATTGGGGTCCTACTATGTGCTGGGTCTTTAGCTTCTATTCCCTCCTGAGTCCTCTTTCCCCTCTAAGTTAATTTTTATTTGAGTTTTTTCTATTTTTTATTATTTCTTCTTTTTTAAAAATTTGGGACAAAAGCCAGGAGTGGTGACACATGCCTATAATCTTCGGACTCCAGAGGCTGAGGCAGGAGGACTGCAGTGAGTTCGAGGCCAGCCTATATAATGAGATCCTGTCTCAAAACACACACACACACACACACACACACACACACACACACACACACACACACAGGACACAGGGCAGGGGGGCGGGGAATCTCACTGCGTTGCACAGGCTGGCCTCTGACTTGTGATCCTCCTCCCTCAGCCTCCCAAGTAGCTAATGTGCACCACCGTATAAGACATCGAGGTGCAGAGGCTGGGGTGCAGCTCAGTGGTGGGGCACTGGCCCAGCCCGGGTAAAGGCCCAGGGAGGGGCGCCCGGGGGAGGGGCTCACAGCCAGGTGCACAGGTGACAGAATAATGGGTCCCAGCTTCCGAGGGCCTGGGTTAGGACCTGGGCTTTGGGATTTTTCCAAAGTCCCCCTGTGGCTCTAATGTGGAGTTGGCTTGGAAGACAGGGTGAGCGCAGGGACTGTCACTGGGGGGTGCACTCCGGAAGAAGTGTGGACACTGTCACGCTTACCCGGTGCTACTGCCGTCACGGTTGCCTTCCTCCCTGGCCGAGACCGCAGCTCTCCTGTCCCGTAGGCTCCTTGAGCTCCCACTTCCTAGCATCTCTGCCTGCCCGGGCATCTCATGTGCCAGACCGTGCAGGTCCCAAGAGCAGGGAGCGGCTGGGCTTCTGCCTGGAGCACGCTGTGCAGTGAGGAGCTGGGGAGGGGAAGGCGCTGGGCAGGTGGGTTTCCTGTCTCAGGACATGGGTTCTGTGCGTCATCACGCAGCGTCACCAGGGGGACAGGGCGTCACATTTGTCTGATGGGTTCTGAGCGCTGGGGGCTGGAGCCCTGTGTCCACCCTGGGGTGGCCGTCTGGCACCTGCAGGGATTTGTGAGCAGCCCGCATCAGCCCTGCACGCCCCCTTCCAGGCACTGCTGTCGCTGGAGAGGTCCCGTCTCTTCTGCCTGGGCGATCAGATGCGGTGCCCTGAGGGTTGGCCAGCTCTCCTTACTGTGCACAATTCCCACACCTTCCTTGCTCCTGTGTCCCCAAGCCCTGATGTGGGTCACTGGGAGGACGAGCCAGGAGAAGTGGGGGTTCCTGGGTGGGCGAAGGGGTCTCCTTCCACCCTCTCCTCGTCCCCGCTGGCCAGCTCCCAGCCACCATGGCCCTCTCTGGACCAGGAACAGCCCGAGCAGCTTCCCACACTGTGGCCAGGATGGCGGATGTGAAAATGCCCATAACCTCACTGCCCCATGTAAAGTGCTCCAGCGACTGTCCACTGGCTGTGGCCACGAGTCAGCCTCCGGCTGGGCGCCTGCTGCTCCCTGGGCACACAAGCTCCTCTGGGTTGGGATGGCTGTGCCTGGTCCCTTCTTGCAGTGTCCAGCCTGGCTCCCTGTCACCATCCAACCCTGGGTGCTCAGCCCCATGTCATTGCTGCGAGTGGAGGGTGTAGGGACTGCCATTGTCCTAGTACCCCTTCTCTCTTTATCCCATGGCAGCTTTTTTTTGGTGCTGGGGATCAAACTCAGGACCTCGCACTTGCCAGGCGGGCGCTATACTGCTGAGCTACATCCCAGCCCAGTGGCAGCTTTCTTCCCACCGGGGAACTCACTGGTGGCTGAAATCGCTCTCCTAAGCATCTGTGGCCCCTGCTGGGGCCCTTGCCCTCTCCTCCATCACCGAGCTCTGTGTCCAGCCACGACTGGAAACACATGGTCTGGGGGAGTCACAGCAGCTCTGAGCTTGGATTCACAGAAGGGACGGAGCAGCCCTATTCTTCGCCTCATTTGGACAGAGGCAGCAGAGGGTTCTGGGACGAGCCTGCAGGGTGTCGTGTCACCTGCACTCTGGGCCTGCGCCCTCTCCCCAGTCTGGGAGGCCCTAGTGGCATGAGCCTCAGGGTCAGCTGAGCTGCTGGTGGGGAGCTTGGATCCGAGCCCTAGAGGGGTGACATCCCCGAGGGCCCCGCACGCAGGTGACAGTAAATTCAGGTGATGCCGCGTGGTCCCAGGGTCAGAGAAGCGGGTGGAATCTGGCCTCTGCGTATGCAGCTGGGTGACCTCAGGTGGCCCTGAGCTTCTCTGAGTCCCTTCCCTCATCTGTAAATGGGGACAATTATCCACACCCCACAGGTGGGCCACAGGAGTGACTGTGAGCCTGCCCTGCCAAAGCCACACCCGAGAGCAGAGGGCCCGTCCTCTCTTCTAGCCCGGAGGGAAGTGCCCCAGATAGAGCAGGTGCACAGGGGCTTATCAGAGGTTTCTGGAGAACAACGCTTAGAGGATTCTTTCATTTAAAACAAAACAAAACTGCCAAACTCGATTGTGCAGCCCCCTTCAGTTTACAGCTGGAGACTCTGGGGGCTAGCAAAGGTGCCAGGTGAGCAGTGTCCAGGCTGGGATGGAACGGTCCCCGCCTACCCCCCAGCCAGGCTCCCTTCCGCCCGCGCTGATCTGCAGTGCTCCTGTGTCCTGTGCCAGACGAGACGTTCCAGCTGCTGCACACATCCTGGAGTCTGAGCCTGGCAGGTTGGCAACTCATGTCGCAGAGGGTGTGGGTGCCCACGCGAGGGAGGCCTTCCCAGACCCTCCATCACTGCGCCTAGCGCTGGGCACGGACAGGGAGCCCTGTCGCTGCTGCCTATGCTGCGGGATAGCATTTCCCGGCGAGGGTGCTGGCGGCCTCAATTCCTCAGGGCCCGGAGGGATCCCCATTCCCTGTCTTTCCCCAGTGTTGGAGGCCTGGCGTCTCAGCCTCGCCCTGCTCTTTCTCTGAAGAGGTCAAGCTGGGAGCCGGGAGTCTAAGGCAGGGGGTTCCGGGGAACAGTGGCGGGGGTGAACTCGCCTGGCAGAAGGAATAACACCCACTCACCTGGGCCCTGGCCTTGCCTGAGGACGCCTATGCCCCGTGTTCGTCCCCAAGGTCACACAGTGGGCGCCCCTTGAAGGTATTCAGTACACTGAGTAGCCACGTCGTCTCACCTGGGACTTTCTGTTCCGGGTCTCAATTTGCACACATTTCCTGGTGGCCAGCCAGGTGGCTCTCTGGAGTGGTTCTGCCTGAACCCAGCCCCTTGGGTGTGGTTTGTCTCCTCTCCAGACTGTCAGCTCCGGGTGGGACCTGGCCGTTTGTTATCGCTCTGCCCCGCGAGCCGGGACCCTGGCTGGTGTACAGTAGGTGGGCAGGGAATGCCGAAGGCAGGTGGAGAGGTGGAGAGGACTCAGGGACCAGGGAGAGGTGAGGGAGGAGCCGGTCAGACCCAGAACCAGGTGCGCTTGTGGCTCGGCCCTCCCGCCCGGCCCGGTACCTGTGCGGCTGGCCGGTAGGTGGCGCTGCGCCCTCGGCCGTGCGGCCGCCAGTCCCCTCCTCCGCCCGCCCCGCGCCGGCTGTTTCTCCGCGCCCTCGCCGCTCCCCGGCGCCTCCGTTCTGCGCTCCGGGCCGCGGGCTCTTCGCCACCATGGCGCACCGGGGACCCCCACGCGGCCCGGCCTCGAGCCCCGGGGCGCCCTCGCCGTCGCCCTGGTCGCCGCGTTGGCCCCGCGCGCGGCCGCTGCTGCTGCTGCTCCTGGCAGCCTGCGGGGCGGCGGGGCGCTCGCCTGAGCCCGGGGGGCCGCGCGCGCTGCTGACCCGGGGCCCGCGGAGCCCACTCGCGGGGTGCGCGCAGGAGGAAGCCGGCGCCCCGCGTCCCGCCCCGGCCCCGGGTCCCCACGAGGACGGCGCCCCCGCTCCCGGCCCGGGGCGCAGGGTGCGGGCGGCCCCGCGGACGCAGGTCTCGCTCATCAGCACGTCGTTCGTGCTCAAAGGGGACGCGACGCACAACCAGGCGATGGTGCACTGGACGGGCGAGAACAGCAGCGTAAGTGACCCCGGGACGCCTCGGGACACCGCCACGGCCCGCTCCTACACACCCCGTAGGCACCCCGGGCGATCTCGGGGATCCGGGTCACCTCCACGCCGCCCCTGCTGGCTTCTGCTCACTCGTTACTTGGGGAACTGTCCCCAGATACGTGAGCCTCTGTCTCTCCCAGGGGGCAGATGCATAAATTTTGGGACCGGGAGCCGCCTTGGGGGCAGACCTCACACCTCGGGTTACCCTTGGGGAGTCCCCGGAGGCTGGAGGACCTCAGCCAAGGCGCGCGCCTCCAGGTGCTTGAGGACCCTCAGCCCAAGGTGTTGGGGTCGCCCACACATTCATTCCGGGGTCAGCTCAGCAGCGCTTTCTGGGACTTTGGCCCTGGGATCCTCCTCACCCGCCGGCGTGGGGACCCCCAGGGTTCCAGGACTGCCCTGGTCAGCTCCTTGTGCTGCTCTGGGACTCCATTATGGGGTGACCCTATTGCTTCCCTGTGGTCCTGTCTGCTGCACCCCTCTGCCCTGCATGGCTGGTGGGGCTGCAAACTCCCTGCCCTCCCCCATTTCCTCCTCCACTCGGCCTCCCTATCCTGGAAGTCATCCTCCCTTCACCCTGGGGATGGGGGGGGGCTTCACAGAATTCCGTTGGGGGGGGCTGCCTCTGCCTTGCTTTCCTGGTGAGAGTCGGGTGGCCCTTCCAGGATCACCCCTGGGCAGCCCCAGCTGGGTCCTCTCCAGTTTTTCGAGTTCGGGGTAAGGGGCAGGCAACTGTGACTCGCTGCTCTCCCCCATGCCCCTGCTGCACTGTCCACTCTGCCTCCCCAGCGCTGTCCCTGCCGAGCTCCTGCTCCCTGAAGCTCCAGGAGGCAATATGGGGCTGGGGTCCCTGCGTGTGTGCATGGGGGTGGAGTGGGCCAGATCTGCGAGTCCAGCTCTGTGGCCGGCACGGTAGTGCTTTCCCCATCTCCTGTCCCGAGCCTGCCATGTGGCCAGAGAAGGGTGGGGTGCTGCAGGGACATGTTGGGGCTGGGCAGTGCCGAGTGGACTTGGTTGGCCCGGAGCCCAGTGTCCTGTGGGCCCCTCCCCCCCAGCCATTGGCTGCTGGGGTGCTGGTGTCAAGACTGTGGTCCAGGGTCTTTTCTGGCACCCTGCGTTAGACTACCAGCTGGGAGGGGGCAGGACTGACTCTTGGATGTGGGGCCCAATAGGGGGCAGTCAGGATGCCAGCTGGGGGTGCCCTCCCCTCCTCATCTGGAGCTAAGGGTCAGGCCCCAGGTACGTGGCTGGGCCAGCCCCACAGAACTCACTGGTGTTGTGGACACACTGTCCCCTGTGCCATAAGCCACACCCCAGGGTGGAAAGGTACCTGGAAACCAAGAACCCAGCAGAGCAAATGAACATTACAGTAAATCCCGTGGGTCTGGAAATATCTCCCCCTACCCCCATCTGCTGAGGTTGTCATCCAGAAGCTTACTTCTGTCCCTTTGTCATTTGGCCTCTTGGGGTGCGTGTGTGAAAGGAGAGACTGAGACGGGGTGGGCAGAGAGCCGTAGGAAATGGGGAGCAGCGTTCAGGCCGGGTGCTGCCCAACGTGACCCCATTCTGAGCTCGGAGCCTGGCCTGGGCACCCTAACCCTTGGAGAGGGCCGAAGAGGGGCACTGGCCCGTGGGCTGGGGTGCTGGGGTTGGAGGGGAGCCCTGGCTGTTCTCCCGCAGGGCAGTGGCTGAGTTGAGGGCTTCTGGGCTGTTTCCTGGCTGCTGGCAGGTGGGAGTGAGTGGGGGCCACACCGGCTCTTTCTCAGTTGGGGCAGGAGGTCCACGGGGCCAGGGAGAGCTTGGAGGGACCATCTTCCGTGGCCAGGGGCCTGCACGGGCTCTGGAACATGGGGCTCAGCCCTGCGCTTAGCAGACGCAGAGGAGGCAAAACAACCTCATGACCATTAGCTGGCTCCAGGGAAAGGGAACACCTCCACATGCTGGCCCAGGAATTTGGCTCGAGCCCTTCCCTAGTCCCGCTGCCCCACTTGCCCTGCCCTGGTTGGTTGGGAAATTGGGGTCCACTCGGGAAAAGCTGGGAAGCAGGCAATGCTTTCAGTCTCGCTAGCTGGAGAAAACTCAGGGAGTGGAGGAGGAGGAGGAGGAGGAGGTGGTGGTGGAGGAGGAGGAGGGGGGCGGCGCCAGGAGCTGCCTGCGAACGCTGTGCCTTTAAATTGTTGTTTTGTGCGTATGGCTGCGTGCATAGCAGGCCCTCCTGGGCATAGGAGGTGTCTCGGAAATGCACTTCATGCACTTCGAGCCCTGCACTCTTCACTCGCAGCCACGGGTTCTGAGATTCGAGTCAGGATTTGGCTGTTGGTTTCTCCTCGACTTGAAAGCACCATCTTTGAAAGCTACATCCAGAAAGGAACGAACTTGAGGCCGCTTTCCTGAGCGGAGTCTTTACAGAATTTTTTTTCTGCCACTTTGCTTACCACTGCCGCCTGCAGACTCGGTCAACAGGAGCAGAGAGAGTTTACCATACGGAGTCAGGTGTTTTGCAGAATTAAAAAAAAAAGCATTTGAGGAGGGGAGTTTTGCAAACGGCATTTTGAGTATCCAGTGGAGAGGGGTTGCAGTAGGCAAACTGGCTTGGAGGCGTCCCGGTGCCTGCAGCTCTGTGAACATATGTGAGTCCCCCTTGCAGTGGCTTGATTCTTCCTGCTCCCATGGAGACGCAGAAGGGGACTCGCTTGGAAGTTCAAACACTGCCTCTCTGTCTGCCATTTAGCTGTGGAAAAAAATTGTTACATGGGAAATTAATATTTCATTGAAACCAAGCCGCATTACTGTTTTATGGACCCAGATTGGGCTCAGCACAGGCAGCTCTGGGCTTGTGTTTCCGTGAGGCAGTGGTGTTATTTGAAGCTGGGTAAATGTTCCAGAGCTGGTCTTTGCTTCTGGCTTGTGGTTTCCTGTTACCCTGGTGGGAGATGAGCATCCTGACCTGGTTGTCATGGTTCTGGGAAGTGTGTGCTGCCCACCTCGTGCCTTTCTTTGAACTTCAACTTTGATGCGTTGTCTTGTCTGGACCTCAATTCCCCTGAAGCGGAAGCCGCCCCTGCCCTGACCTGGGCACATTGGCACTTTCCACTCCTTTCTCCTGCCTTGCCTTGGTTTCCACATCTGCCCGGTGGGGTAGTGGAGGGGAACTGCATGCGGAGCGTTCTGAGCAGATGAGCCACACTGTCTCCACGGTCCTGATAAACCCAGGCTTTGTGTGTATTTGATACCCAGAGAGCTGGAGCTGCAGTGAGCTTGTGTGGAGTGGTTCTGACACCTGCCTGACCCGGGTTCCTGGAGGGCAGGTGCCCTGGATGCTGGGGTTGGCGTGACATAGGACCAAGGCTGCTGGCCAGGCTGGGTGGCCTGAACTGTGTCTGCCGAGGGCTGGAAGTCACAGGAGCACAGGGCTGGCTCTGCCTGTGACCACTCTCCTGGCTTGTGTGGCATCTTCCCTGTCCTTACATGTCCATCCCTCTGTGTGTGCTGCATCCTGTCCACCCTTCTTATAAGAAGACTTGGATTAGGGCCGGGGATTTAGCTCAGTGGTTTCACCATCTGCTGCGCAAGCGCGAGGACCTGAGTTCGATCCCCGGTACCAAAAAACCCCCAACAAAACCCCACTTGGATTAAGGCCCACTGTGCTGACCTCATTTTAACTTAATTACCTATTCAAAAGGCCGTACCTCCAGTTAGAGTCAATTTGAAGGTGCTGGGGGTGAGGATTTCAGCATATGGATGCTTTTGGGGGCAGAGGGGACATGGCTCAGCCTCTAAGAGCAGGGAGAGGGACTTGCCTACCTGTGCACCCCCCAGCTTAGCTTCTCTGGAGGAGCCCAGAGAAGCCCGGTGAGAGAGGGGAGGTGGACATGAACAGTGGGTGTCACCTTCCTGATGACGATTGTGGGGACGTCAGGGAAGGCTGCGTGGAAGAGGTGGCCTTGGGCTGAATAAAGAATGCGTGGGTAGCATGCATGGCAGGTGGGGATGAGCACTGAGGCAGGATGAGGCCTGGGAGGTGGGCCTGGGGGGCAGGAGTCTGGGGTGTGCAGACACAGTGAGCATGCGCACAGGAAGCAGGTGGGACAGGTAAGTGAACCAGCTTGGAGGGACCCCAGCTGTGGTGCAAGGAGCCCCTGTGGCTGTGTGGGGTGGTGGGTGTGGACACTTTGTCCTCGGAGCCAGCTTGCCTCTTTGTGTTCTGGCCCGGCCTCATCCGGCTCTGGGCAGTGGGGGGATTCTCAGCATCTGCCACTTGGAGAGGGAGGGTGAAGGCGCAGATCAGCAGTGCAGATTCGTGTCAAGTGCGCAGACCCGAGCCTGGTGCTGGAGCCCAGTGCCGGCAGAGCTCAGAGAGGGTACTGAGGCCTGGCCAGGGCCGTGAGGGGCTGCGGAGGGAAAGTAAGGTGTCTCCGGTGGGGATGGACAGGTGGGTGGCTGCCGCTGCTGCCCTGCCAGCCTCTTATTTTCTGGGAGGTGCTGGGCCCCCAGATGCGGAGACCAAACCCAGAGACAGACCTGAGCTGCAGCTGGCATCACTGGCTGTGGTTCACTGGGTCGAGTCGGTTCTGTTCCCCTTAGAGGTAGGCTCGGTGGCTGCAGGGCTCCGGGTTTTCTCTTTCAGGCTGTGAAACTTCTTGCCTGATATTTTGGAATCCAGGCCACCGCAAAGTGGTCCCCAGCGTTTGGGGGTGGAGGCTGGATTGGAGCGAGGTCTGGCTCACTGGTCAGTCGTGAGTGACGCGTGTGTCCCGATGCAGTGCCCCTCCGCTCTGGCAGGCATCATCAAGGTGTCCCGCGGCCACCGGAGCTGACGGAGGCAGACAGAGGTCAGGGCACGTGCTGAGTATCTGTCACACTTGCTGTCAGGAGCCGGCTGCTGGCATGCGAGCTGGCGGGGGGGGGTGCACATGACCCCTGGGGCTGCTGTCTGGATGAAGATGACGGGGAGCCTGGCCACATGTT